GTGTGTGTGTGTGTGTGTGTGTGTGTGAGAGACTGAAAGGGATTGGCTGTCTTCTTCCAACAACAGTGTTTTCAGTAATACAGTGAATGAACAGTACATGAAGGAATGTAATAGCTCAGCTGCAGCCGTCTATTTTTACCAGTGCCCTCGTGCACTCGTCTAAAAATGAGAACAGAGCAGCGCAGATTATTAGCACAACGCACCAAGTGCTTTAATAACTAAACAGGTTTTTGTGCTGTGTCACTTTTTTTCTTTTTTCTTTTATCAAGCTCACATATTCCATGTTCCAGGATTTGGAAACTAATTATATTTGTTATCAGGCCTGTAAACAGAAGTGCTTTGCAGTGTTTTAATTACACAGAAAAAAAAAAAGGCCAGTCAGCAATTCTCTAATTGCTCAGTGTCTTTTGTAAGTGGTTTCTGTCTCAGCCCATTAGCTCAGATGGCTGTGAGCTGATGTATGATTGATCAGTTGTGACACGTGTCAAGTCAAAACTGTGTGTGTGTGTGGGGGGGGGCGAGAAAATGACCCGCTTTTCATTTCGTTCCTGTTTTGTGTGGTCAAAGTGAAGGGAAGCAGAGGTGATCTGAGACACGTGGAGGTCAGGAGCTGAGCTGAGGGAAAATGAAAAAGTGTGATCTCTGTGTGTGATGTGACTGTTGAAGTGTTGGGAGCAGATGTTTTTACATTTCTGACAAACACAAAAAGTGACTTTTCTTTATCTAACAGCCGCGATGAAGATGGTGATGTTGGTCAGACTTTCCTAATCGTCATTAGTACGAAGCTTAATGATCCCCAGAGGATGATTCTTGATGATTTCGTGTTTAGCACCATCATCAGGTCAAAATTTCCCCTCAGCCGCCACTTTTGTCGGTGGTATTATGAAATAAAGTCACCGTGTTTCCATTGAATTTACTGGGATGTGAGCCGAGTATGTTAGTTACTGTTGGTGTTGGTAAAACATTTGAACAAAAACAGCTGAGTTGTATAAACAGCTGTCATGAAGCTCTAGAGACCAAAACTGACATGTTCATTTCTGCTGTAAAGTTGGCGCCTCAAGTGGCCATTCAGGGAACTGCAATTCCATGTTGGCTTCATCTTTCAGCCCCAGTGGGACAGGATGCAGTGAACATTTTGCATTAGAGATGAGTTACCTGTCAGTTTCTTCTCAGCATGTAGAAAACCACAACAGATTACATTAACTATTTACTCATGTCAGCTCCCCTTACAGAAAAAAAAATTATCCACACTGTGAAAAACTTTTCACGTCCTATTTGATTTTTATGATCAGACGCCCTGTGCCCATCTTCTGCAGGGAGAACCCCCCCCCCCCAGATTATTCCTGACAGTGCACTTCACTCTAACCCATCTACAGACATATTTTCCCTAGCTGAGCATTTCTGTGCTCACTGCATCATGCTTCACATTTGTGGAAAACATTTTTTTCCTCTCCTCTCTTCCGGCGATGCTGCTCGCCTCTTGTTGTTTCGATCAAAACCTTCCAGTGTCTTGAAGCCCCGCGAGGAGAAAACAGCAGAAGTTTATTTAGGTCACAATGTATGAGAATCTGCTTTATAGATAAGATAAATCACTTCTACACTCTCCTCTCCCGAGTGATCTTACCTGGCAGGAGCAGGGGTGTCATTTCTCAAGTGCTCCCCTGAAGTAATGTGAATGCTTCTCTCTGTTGTGTGGTAGAGTTAAATATGCAAACACAAAAGTAGTGGCTTTTGGCCCAGTGCTTAGTTTATGAAAATAAACTGCTCCATAATGGATCGTTCTGTACGAGGGCCCTCTCGGGCTCACGGCCTGGTACAGCTCTTCTGGTTGTAGGTCCTTGACAGGGCAAACGATTAATTTCTATGTATGCTTATAAATAAGTCATACATAATGTGCAGAAAGTGGTACTCTGTATTTATTAGAACAACAGATTAGTGTCTGCTGAGAGCTGCTGAGTCTCTGCAGGTCAAACACTCTGTCTATAGCCTGCAGAGGAGTTTCCATTTTAATGAGTTGGACTGTTTAGTCTTTAAAACAAGACTCTCTAAGTTTTGCTGAACATTACTGTGGCCTTAATTGACATTACTGTCGGCTAAACCTTTGACTGTCCAATCACAGCTTAGCAAGCGTGACTAGGCCCGGCAGGTACGTCTCTCTTGGGGCTCTATTAAGTTTGATATTCAGTATTTTAAAGGTCATGTCGTTCAAAAATTAAAAATATGAGAAAAAGGAGCAGGTGTTGCAAGTGGGCCAAGAAATTAATACATTAAAAAATAATGTTTCTAAATGTTTTAAAACCAAAAAAAGATCTTTAAAAAATAAACATTCATTCAACACAATTCAACAGTTTCAATAGTGTATGAAGAGTGAAACAATAAAAAGAAAAATCAGTTTTGGAAAAAAATCTCAGCGGTCTCTAAAACTCTTGCCCTTCTCTTTGCTCTCTCTCTTGTTACCATGGTAACATTGGTCTTAGGCCTAAATTAACCTGGGGTTAAGGTGTCAAATCTTTTTGGCTTAAATTTAGTCAATCTTAGCAAATTCAGACTGGACCAACACGACAGACCAGTCTGAAATATCTTTGTGAAACTGGTCCCAGGTCACACCAGTTCAAGTCAGACTGTAGCAGCAAAAGCACCTGAGTGTCCTGAATTAACCAAGGGTGCAAGTTTTTCTCACCTTTTTAAACGTAAGAAAAAAAAACAAAACATGCTGGATAATATGAACTCATTACCTTGAAATAAATGACGCGCCCTGAAAGAAGTGGATTACATTACTATCAGAACCGTGTGTGTGTGTGTCGCCGCTGAAAGAAAATACTGAACAGACTTTATTTCCATTGGAGACCATTGAATTTATCGCTCCCGCTTGTTTCAGAGATACAGGATGTAATGAAAAACATTTCTTTTCCAAATGGGACTCCGCAAACACAGGGCCGGCCCCCGGCTAACTGGCTTTATTCTTCTGCTTTGTCAGACTGATGAAATTGCGATTGCTCTGCTGGTCTCCCTTCAGAAGTCACCACGAGGCAATATGAGTGAAATGTTTTCCAGTCACACCGGGGTCAGAACCCCTCTCTACTTGTTTATGAGATGCTCTGGAGGATCTGCTCTGTTGGTAATGGTAGGCAGTTTTAAAGGCTGGATTAGAGTGCAATTGGCCCTTTTGTAATAGTGCGATGACTTCTGTATAGATCTGTTATTCCATAATGTGATTTACCCAGTCACACTGTGGTAAGCTTGCAGATGCAGGAATCGATCTGCAAAAAAACAGTCTTTTCTTTAATCAGAGAGAGACAAAAACATTCATCCGTCTGTATAAAAGGATGCAGTGCCCTCTCTTGGAGGAGGAGATTCATTCTTGCCTTTTCACTGAAGGTCAAAAGAGCAACAGGCATTAACATAATGCGACCATTTGTACAGTTTCTCTTCTTAAAGTCTTAATCTGAACCTGCTGCCTGAAGACTTTTAGGGATGTCTGAAGAAGAAAACAAACATAAACAAATGCTAAAGCTAAGATAAAGAGCCAGATCATTTTCTCAGAAGATGAAGAAGATCAAAACATGATTAAAAGGAGGTTAAATGTTTGACTTTGACACGCCGACACGCTCGCCATCACAAGTTGTATAGGTGTTAAGACCATAGACTGGAAATAAAAATGGACGTAGCCTCTGTGACGTCACCCACAGGTTTCTGAAGAGCTGTTTCGAAACTCAGGGTGAGCTGCTCCACCGTCGCCATCTTGGCAGTTTCTGACTCCGCCCCTAATTCCTGGCTAATCCAATCCGGCTGGTCGCCAACTGTGTCTCTCTGTTGTCAGGTGCTGAGCAGGGAGTGTAGAAAACAGGAAACAAGGTCAGTGAGAGAGAGATGAACCAAACACTAATCAAAACACTTAGCTTAAAACAGGCAAAAAAAACATTGACTAGTGCAGCTTTAACTTGTGCAACAACCTCCAGCTTGAACAGACGTAGTTGGGCTATTTATAAACTTAGTTTTCAAAATAAAACTCTTTGTATTTTCCCGTCTTTATTGTGAAAAATAACACTACACAGCAGGTGGATAAACAAAGGTGAACACAACACAACCTACAAACAATGACAAATACAGAGGACAAAGTTGTGTGTGTGTGTGTGTGTGTGTGTGTGTGTGTGTGTGTGTGTGTGTGTGTGGAAAGTGGAGGTGAAAAGGAAAAACAAGATCTGTTGAGAAAGGGGTTTGGGGAGCTGGAGGGTTAGAGGGGTTTGACAGGTGTGGTTCTTCGTGGCCCCTGGGAGGTGGTGATGGTGGAGGTGGGGGTGGGGGAGTGTCCTCAGGGTCCTCAGGCCAACGGCGTCAGAGGCAACAGGCAACAAAAGTGATGTGAAAATAAGGAGAAGGGGGAGAAAGGGCGATGGATAGATTCATGAAAATAGCAAAATAAAAAAAACGAAAGGCAAAAAATAAAGCAAAAAAGCAAACGTGTATTTAAATTGGTGAAGTAAATTTAACTGGAATATGAAACGCAGGAGTGTTAGCATCTTCATTAGGAGAAGAAAATGTGTTGTATTTGTCGTTGTTTTTGCCGTATGGGAATCGGGAGAGCAGATTTTCGTCAGGTTTGGTCTTATTCATGAGAGACTTAGATCATTTCTCCATTGAAATGTTTTCTATTAAAAGATTTTTTCCACTGAACTGCTTCAAAATGAAGCGTTATCACATCACACACACTCCTGTCTCAGAGCTGGGCCTGTACATTGGATCTAATCTGATTCTGGAGTCGTCAGAAATAAATAAATAAATATATAAATGAAACAAAGTGGTGGTTGGTGGGCGAGCATTTCGTCTAATGGCACTGCAGCACTTTTCAGGCGTGTGAGTGTGGCTTAATCACTTGTAAGACTTGATTGAGTGTGTGTTAATAAACATTAGGCTGTCTCTCTCTTCCCCTGGTGATTAGTGGTTTATGTGCTCTGCTCTCTGCAGGCTGAAGACGCAGTCCTGAAGATTGATGGAGGGCCATGCTATTCAAACAGCAGGCATTGCTGAGACAGAAGCTCTTCGTTCTGGGCAGCCTCGCTATTGGAAGTGTCCTTTATCTCGTAGCCAGGGTTGGGACCTTGGATAGGTGAGTCACCACCGTCACATCCGGAGAAATGCTACATGTTTATTTTAAGTAATTTGAGTTGTCCGGGTATATATTTATTTTATTTATATATTTTATATACGTATATATATAAGCTCCATATTTTCCTCTTCTTCTGTGTTTTATTTGACGTGTTGATCCATTAGAAGATATATTTGTGGTTTTAAGAACCAAAAGGCTTCTCTCTGCAGCTCTAGTAACAACAGGTTGGTGAGCCAATCAGAAGAGAGGAGGCTCTGAGCCTCTCTTCTGATTGGCTGACTGTTTTCTGAGTGATCCAATAAGAATATTCAGATTTCAGGTAAAACAGTCAGAGAAACCAAATCCTGCAAGGTTTGGATGGTGGGTCCAGGTGGGCGGGGCTTGGTGACTGCTTTGTTGTGACATCACAAAGTTCCAGAAGTCCTGACGGCTGGTTTTAAGGCTCAGTTTCTGAATACAGGCTGTGTGCATTTCTCTGTGGACTGAGGCTTTGATACTTTCACAGTATTAATATAGAAGCTAGACCTGATCTATAATCACACTACACATGGACAGAGACCTTATATGGGACCTTTAAAGAAAACAGGTTCAGTAATAGACGTATGTTACTTGATATGCTGTAGATTTTTTTTTTTTTTTTTTTTTTTTTTTTTTTTGAGTGTGCAAATGAAAAATAAGACTTTGAATATCTCATGTAAACATGCTGCATTATAGACTGGAAAAGCAATCATGGCTGAACAGGCAGAGAGCACAGCACCTAGAAACTGATTTAAATTAATTTCAAAGACAAATCATGTCTGTTAATTGCTTTCTGGGTTTTCAGCATAAAAAAATCAGCCCAAATAAAATCTTTCCCTCTGGGCCAAGTCAAACATTCCTTGGCACATGAAGTAAAAAATCCTTGTTTTTATTTGTTATTATAGTGTCTTTTTAATTTCTCTTTGGGTTTTTCTCTTTCAGGCTTCAGCCTATTTGCCCCATTGAAAGGAGACTGACCCCCCCTGAGCCAGAGCAAATCCCTCTCCGCACCCTGCAGTTTAAGCGTGGCCTGCTCCATGAATTGCGTAAGGGCAATGCCACCAAAGAGCAAATCCGCCTGCACAACCTGGTCCAGCAGCTGCCTCGGGCCATCATCATCGGGGTGCGCAAGGGGGGCACCCGGGCCCTGCTGGAGATGCTCAACCTGCATCCAGCGGTGGTCAAGGCCTCACAGGAGATCCACTTCTTTGACAATGACCAAAACTACGCCCGGGGCATCGACTGGTACAGAGGGAAAATGCCCTTCTCCTTCCCTCATCAGATCACCATTGAGAAGAGCCCCGCCTACTTCATCACAGAGGAGGTCCCTGAACGCATCTTCAAGATGAACTCCTCCATCAAGCTGCTGATCATCGTCCGGGAGCCCACCACCAGAGCCGTGTCCGACTACACGCAAGTTCTGGAGGGCAAGGAGCGTAAGAACAAGACCTACCACAAGTTTGAGAAGCTGGCCATCGACGCCAACACCTGTGAGGTGAACACAAAGTACAAAGCTGTCCGGACCAGCATCTACACCAAACATTTGGAGCGCTGGCTGAAGTACTTTCCCGTGGAGCAGTTCCACATCGTGGACGGGGACCGCCTTATCACGGACCCGCTGCCCGAGCTGCAGCTCGTCGAGCGCTTCCTCAACCTTCCCTCAAGGATCAGCCAATATAACCTGTACTTCAACGCCACCAGGGGATTCTACTGTCTGCGATTTAACATTGTCTTCAACAAGTGCCTGGCAGGCAGCAAGGGCCGCATCCATCCAGAGGTGGACCCGTCAGTGGTGACTAAACTGCAGAAGTTCTTTCACCCCTTCAATCAGAAGTTTTACCAGATCACTGGGAGAACATTCAACTGGCCGTGATGAGCTTTGAACTTCACTGAGATTCCTTGGATTGGTGTTTGTTTGTTTGTTTTTTTTAAACACTTAAACGCTATGAGATCTCATAAGATATTAATAGCACTTTGACTGAATTTAATACAAGAGCGACAGTGTGACCAAATATAAAGAGGAACTTGATGTACGTTTGTTTTTATGTGTGTTATTTAATTAAAACAAAAACAGTTTGACTGGTTTTACTAAAAGATTCAGTTCAAAGCACTTGATCTTGCCAATTCATTCACCTGTCTGTCAATGAAGAAAAGAACCAGTACTGAACTGTGATTAACTAAAGAGATTATTTTTGTTGCTTTTTAAAGGGACTATCAAACACTGACATCCATGCTGTTAAGATAAGCTTTAAGTGTGATGCTTTTTTTCATGATGAAACCCCATAAAAGACGACAAAATGACAGCTCATAAACAACAAGATTGTTCATTTGTTCCCCGTCATGTTGTTTATTTGACCAAAACTTGCATGTGCAATCAAGATGCCATTATACAGTAACATTATAGGATCTTGTCTTCTGTTCATATTGTTTTTCACCACATTTTCCTCCTAATTCATGCTGTGATGAATCCATTAGAGGGTGACCTCGAATTCTCACCCAAGATATTATCATTATCCAGAAAAAAGGATCATCAGAATGAGTCTGATTTTAAATCCTTCAAAGCGTTTCAGACTTGAGCTCGTGTTTGATTGTAAGTACGTTGTTTCTTCCCCTACAGATTTTTCATTGGTTTGCGAAATACCTGGCAAAAAAAGCCATATTGAAAAAAAATATAAAGTTGTCCTCTGATGATTCTTGTCAAACCAACTGCTTATTCTAAGATGATTAACGAAATCTGTCTGTTTCTGTGCAAATATTCATTCTGTATCATGTGTGTTGTTAAAAAAAAGGTTAAATTAAAAGAACATGTAAACATTGTCGACTGATTTATTGTGTGCTGTTGTTCATCTTTTGCTATTAAAAGGAATAATTTAACATTTCAGGAAACCAATAGGAAGATTGATGCCACCGTCATATCTGGGTATTTACGTTACCATGGTTACTTGACTTGCTGGGTCGTCTGGGTTTTTCCCCAAAGCTGCGGGACTAGTTATTCGTCTAAATTTTTGCAGAAAGAGGAAGAAGAAGAAGAAGAAGTATGCAGGATTATAATATATGCTTTCTGTATAGTAGAAACAAGCACTTAATGATAAAGCGTTTCGACCTGGAGGTTTTAGTTCAAGTCCTGGTGAAGTCTGCCCTAAACTGGATTAAAAAATGGGCAAAATGCTCCAGGACATCAAACCTCGGAGGGACCCTAAAGGCACTTGGTTTAATGTATGGTTAGTGGATGAATTTAAATTCAATGGACTGTATATCCATGAAGGAAGTTGAAAGGTGAAAAAGAAAAAGGAGGGGTAAGGGGGGATTTTTATCTAACTGAGATCTAATCTTGCATTTCCACAAAACTACTGACATAGCAAACTGAGACAGGGTTGGATTTCAGTATTTCAGTGTCAAACTGCCACTTGGTTTCTAAACCAAATGTAATGTGATTTGTTGTCTGCACTGGCGCCTGTACCTGATGGGTACTTGGGGCATGAATGAACATTGTGCAGAGAATGGGAGATGCTGGATGTCAGTCGGGGCCCAGATCTTATTTTTATCCCAATACACTCATGGTACTACCCCCCCCCCCCCCCCTCCCCCCCCCCCCCCCCCCCCCCACACACACACACCACATTACACACACACACACCACACACACACACAACAGAATTTCTCCACAAGGATCAAGCTAAAAGAAGGTGAAAGTGCGAGCAGACACAGCAACTTACTGTGAGATTTAAACATAATATTTGTCATATAGCGTTTGTCCATGTCACTTGCTGTGGACTGGGGGCAGAGCCGGATGTAACAAAGATAATGCTGACATCTAGTGTTGTGTCCGAGCAGTAAATAAAGTGCCGCACTCCTTCTGTTCTTCTTGGAGCTAGTTGTGGAGAAGTAGGTTAATAATCATGTTTTGCATTTAAACCAGTTGATGCTTTGTTTCTAAAAATAGGTACTTAGCTTATCTGTCACCCCCGAGTTTCACTCAGAGATTCCAACCCATTTCACATTTCCTCATGTACTTTAAAAAGTAATTTACCCAAGATATTTTTGCAGCAGTATTAATTTGCCCCTTCTTTTTTATTTTTTTTATTTGCCCCATCTTTTTTTTCTTTAATTGCCCCATCTTTTTTGTTTTTTATTTGCCCCATCTTTTCTGCTGTCAGAGGCCGGGGCCACTTTATAACGTAACAGCCCCGCCCCGCCCCCGAAGTAGTTGCGCCTCCCATTCAACACCGCTCCGCTCCGCCACCGTGTATTCATCTGTGTCGGTGCCGTCCATTCAGTTTTCCATCCGCTGAAGCCAATTCAAACCAACTTTTTTCATTTAAAAAACTGCCCCGAACATGGCGTACACGACCGCGGGTGGGACGAAGAAGAAGGTCTGCTACTACTACGACGGTACGGGACATCCGGAGTGTCTCAGTAGGAAGCCCAAATAGAGACATCTGGCACCGGCTAGCGCTAGCCGCTTAGCTAGTCAGTTTAGCTGGTGCTGCGGGTAAATGAATGGTGTTTAACACAAGTTAGCTAACGAGCTAGCGTTAACTAGTGTCATCCTGCGTGTTAACTCGTTTGAAAAACACGCAAAGCGAACCAAACGTACACTTTACACTTTACGTAAACCGACTGAGAGTGTAAAAAAAAATCACGCAAGATATCGTTAAATTAACGTTGTAATGTGTAATTAGCCTAAACGTGAACGTGCGTAAGACAGGGGTCGTAACACTCATTATCATAATTGTTTCAGCTGTTTAATTACGACCGTAACCAGGCTTTGTGTGCACCGTGTTATTCGGACGTACGCGGATGATTGAGGGGAAGTGATGAGAAACTGTTGACCCCAGTGTGACTTCAAAGTTGAAGTCCTTCAAGTCTCAAAGCGAAAATGCGCAACTATTTGACGCACAAGTGTGCTCAGGCCTAATTGATGCGTTCAAGTGTTGATGCCTCTCTTGAGTCCTGAGAGCAGAATTTCAAGTTGAGGAAAAACCGATGAAGTGTTCCCATTGATCTTCCCCCAGAGGCATCACTTATTTTAAACTCAGCAGTTCAGGTCAATGAGGACGTTGTTAGTCACTGTTATCTGCTGTTCCTGTTCATTTAGACTGAAGCAGTGCCGTAAAGTGTCACTTGGTGGCATCACAATGGCTTGTCTTTGATGTTTTTAGCTTTTATTTATATAAACTTAATTTTTACTCAAAGTGCCCAGTGTGATAGTAAACCTGGAAAAACTGGCATTACTTGATGATGTCGAAATCAGAGTGAGCGGCCAATAGGTAGGGTTGAGAAGAGAGAAAGGTTGGTGGAGAGCAGAGAGTATTATTATTATTATTATTATCAATAATAATTATAATAATAATAATAATAATAATAATAATAAACAGTGTTGTAGTGTCAGATCTGAACCCCGCAGCTCCAGAGAGAGAGGAGAAGCACAAACTACAGGAGAGAAATTATGTCAATTATTTGTTCACACTTTGTCCTACATTTGTTTTGCATGCACTGCAACACCAATATATTACGCACTTATACAACACACACGTTCAGTTTGTGTATGAATTTCTTAATATTTAAATCATTAAACATTTAAACATTAAATGATAAGGCTGCGTTAATATTTTAAACAAATTCCATGTAGCCAGCAAGTTAGAAATTATAACCAGAGTTATAAATGTGTATTATTCCACTGCTGAAAAAAGTCCCCTACTTTAGGTCCAAATGTTTGCTAAAAAAAAAAAACTACAGGTCCGAGCTGTTTATGACAAAAAGAGAAATAAAACTATATATTTGTGACACATTTGTAAGGATTTATGTCTTCAGTAGGCACCAGCGGGATTTGGGCTCAGAGCCACAGATGGGGTAAGGAAGTCAGAAGTTTGGTCTTTTCAAGGGATTTGTTGACATCGTGTGTGGAAATGTGAAAGACTTGTGAATTGTCTATAGACATTTCTATATGTGAAACATGATCGGTTTGGATATATAACCTGGATAATATGGCTGTTTGCATTTGATATTGTTCCACTTGCTTCTAGGGCTGCTTTCTTTATGTGTATATGTCATGACTGACCCAGATTGAGGTCATGGAGAGGTGCTCATTATTAAAGGGACTCGCTGTCATTGGGATATATATTAATATAATATCAGTAGTGTTATATGAAGTTAGGTATTTGAACAATATTGTGATATTCGTTTTATGTCGGTATCAGTCGGCCCTCTTTATTAAACCCTACATGACACATATTGTTATTGCTTATGAACCTGTGTTTCCTATGTTTCCATTTTACAGGTGACATAGGAAATTATTACTACGGACAGGGCCATCCCATGAAACCACATCGTATCCGTATGACTCACAACCTGCTCCTGAACTATGGACTGTACCGGAAAATGGAAATCTACGTACGTTTCTAACCACACATTTATTCTATCCCGCACTCCTGTAACAGATCGTGAGGCGTTAACGAAATACGTCTTCTTCTCCGCACTAGTTTTCATCCGGCTGCCGTGTTTTGTGTTTCAGAGACCGCACAAAGCCACGGCAGAGGAGATGACGAAATATCACAGCGATGACTACATCAAGTTCCTCAGATCCATACGTCCAGACAACATGTCTGAGTTCAGCAAGCAGATGCAGCGCTGTAAGTAGTTCTCAATAACTCCTGCAAACACTAAAGATCACACAAGATTTGATGGGTTTTTTAGGAGCTGATCGCGCCTCCTTTTGCTCCTCTGCCCTCCACTTCCTCCCTGCTTTAGCCACCTTCGGGTTCACCTGAGTCCCTGAACTTGTGTCACTTCCCTGGATCTTGTTACCTTGATTTGCTCCTCCCAAGTATTTTGAGGGGCAGTTGCGGTTTGTTGTGGCGATGCTGCTCAGTCTTGTAATTTCTGTCTTGCAGTCAACGTTGGAGAGGACTGTCCTGTGTTCGATGGGTTGTTTGAGTTCTGCCAACTCTCCGCTGGTGGCTCTGCTGGTAAGTTGCACAGCAGATTGCTAAATTTTATTACCTAATGATGATATAATTTGTTCCACTGGAATATAAAATCTGCTTGCACAAAACCCCTTAAGTTAAGATTTTCCTTAAAGTCTTTGTTGAGGTTTCACTAAAATAAAAAAACAGTTGTCTCCTTCAGATTTCCTTAAAATATCAAGTGTTGAAGGTTTTCTCATTATCTTAGTCTGATATTTTAGGAATCACTTAAAAGACACAAAAGACCTCAGCAACCGAAGTAAGGAACAAAACTAAATGTACCTCTGACTCCGTCTCAACTGCAAGTTTATGGCAATAAATGAAGTAAATGAACCTTTTCAAGAGTTTCTGTGCAACACCTGTAAGAAACTGTCTCGTCTAAGAAGAGATTAAACCTTAAGTGTCGTCCTTAAGTAGAAAAACGGACCCTGCACCTCAATGGAAACAGAACAACCATGGCTACAGGTAGAGAGAGCTCAAAATGTCTCGTGCAGCATGAAACAGTTATAATGCCATGAATCAAATTGAAATGAAATGAAGAGCTCCACATGGTATTCATACTGAGCTGTTTACAACACTACAAACCTGGTGTTTTCAGCTGTGTTCCCTTATTTGTTCAGAGCAAACTGTTTATTCTTGGCGACCTTTTGAATGAAACATGTAGAATTAAGTGATTTTTTTTTTTTTTATTGGTTGACCTTCTCACTGCCACTGTTTCCTGTCTGAATGACGGCGTTGTCGTATGAAAGGCTGCGGTGGTCAGTGGTT